TGGAGGACAGGACTGGGACACACTTGTCCACTAGCTGGGGGCCGCCATGGCGGTCACCTCTCAGGTGTCCTCAGCCACTGGTCACTGGCCCTAACCTCTCACCTGCTGCATCCTTCTCCAAGCTTCCCTGCCTTGACCTTTGAGAGTTCTGAAAAGTGATGTAGCATGTAGGAAAGGAACAGGGACAAGGAGAAAGGTCTTACCCTAAAAACCTGGTTTGGTGTAAAAATGACACTTTTTTTTTTTTTTTTTTTTTACATGGTTTATGGACCCTGACATGGGCAAGTTTCACACTGGTAGGAAACCACAGTGCTGTTTAGAGACTAAATATGGACTTTTTAGAAATGTTTTGGGGTATTTGGGGATGATTTAACAATCTGCTCAGTCTCCTGTAGTGTCCTCAATCTGTGGTTATTCTATGAAAAGGCATAAGCCCCTGGTAAGTTCATTATGTCTTCTAATGTCATCAGGCCTGTGTCTCCTCCATTTCTCCATCCCTTAGGGATTTGAGGCAGGCATACACACACACACACACACACGGTAGGACATGAGGGATCCAGTTTTATTTTTTTAAAGAATTATTTTAACTTTTATTATTATTATTTATTTAAATTTGATCAGAGAGGGACAGGGCGGGGGGGGGAGAGAGAGGGAGAGAAGGGATGGGGCGGGGGGGGGGGAGAGAGAGAGAGAGAGAGAGAGAGAGAAAGTAAGTGAGAAAGCGAGCTACCATGTTCAGGACTAGAACTCTGGTTGGCCATGTGGGGGTCCAGCACCCTTAACCACCATGCCACCTGCTGGCCCCAGGGATCCAGCTTTTTTAACCACCAAACCATGGGCTGGCCCAGTATGCATATTTCATTACTTTCTTGTATGTTTACATTTAGACCTTAGTCTTATGAAGGTACATATGTCTGTAGGTTTTACTTCTAAATATCTTTTCAGAATGATAAAGAAGCCTTACGAAATATGTTCAAAAGGGGAGGGACATGGAATTTTGCAGATCTGAGAACTGCTAACTTGTAATTAAAATGATAAATGGACTTTGGACAACTTATTCTAGATTCCTAATAAGCTTAGTTGGGTCAGCGTGTCATAAGTATGTATGTGTGAGTCTTCCTTTTCTGGGAGCAGACAGTCCCGCCAGCCCCCACCTACCTCCAGTGTGATCCGGTTCTTCACCAGGAGTCCGATCTTGATATCCATAAGGTTCAAGTCTTTCTCTAGCTGCTGGTTGGCCCTGATCTTGGTCACCACTTCCTCCCTTAATCGTGCAACTTCCAGATCCTCTTGGAAATCCAAGTCACTTTGGTCCAACAGGTGTACAAATTTGCGTATTACTGTTAATGGTGGGTTTTCAGAGCCAACTGCAGGGAAAGGAGCAGAGATTCTTTAATTAGAAAAGCTTGGAATTATCATCAGTTGGGAAAAACCCTAGGCCTTTAAATAAAGTATGATGAGAAAAATATAGCAACAGAAGTCTTTGGTCTGTGGAGCGGATCATTACGGCCCAGGAAAATCTGGACAAGTAAACCGATCCTATAAATAGATGCAAAAAACTGGATTACATCTGGCTTCATGATTTTCTAGTTGTCAAATACTCATTTATCAGTTCTCCTTCACACTGTCCCCAGGACACTATCTGTGTCTTATTGACACAGGAACCTGGGGAAAAAAGTTAGTAAGAGTTGTCTCAGCTTTTAAGACCTTCTGGTTGAGACTGATAAGAGATTTATGCTCTTGTTCCAGGAAGCAGAAAGTGGTTTCTTTCATCCCAAAAGATCTTTGGGAAGGACCTGGAACAAGATTAGATAAAAGCTAGACTAAGGGATAGCTGAATTTGAAAAGGTCAAGGAAGGCAGGTCTGTAACCAAGTAAGAACCACTGGGATAAAGGGGATAGATATTCTACTCACCAGAAATATGACTTTTGAAATTGAAAGGTGGTCCTTGTATTTTCAAGCACAGATGAAGGAGAGTGCTCAGAATGTGAGGGCAGCCTCACTCATTGAGAGTGGGGTTCTCATGTAAATTCTAAAGGCTTTTTCATCAGTCCCGTATAGTTTAATTCCCTGGTATTTTGACCCTTGAAAAAACACTTTTCATTTCAATGTGCTTAAACAGCAACTCTGGATAAACCACTAAAATCAACTCTGAGAGACTGGATGGTGGTGCAGTGGTGAAATGTGACCCCTTGAGTCTGACCCACAAGGGAAGTTTTGAGCTTGTGTCTGAGTCCTTTCTGAGTAAGCCAGACATGTGCATACCCATGACCCAGGGCTGGCTGAGGCTGGGGGTGGGTCATGGTGTCAAGACCTTGTTGGGGATGCTTGTCTTTCTCTCTGTCTCTATCTGTCTCTCTTGCTCATGGAAGAAATAAACTTCGAACAAACAAAGAAAACACCTGATTGGGTCTTTGGGTATGAATGACTAGACTGAACAATACAAAGACCAAACAAGTCTAGTCCTTAGTAACTGTCTCCATTATATTTAGGACCTTGGTCAACCTTCCTTTGTACTTCCAGCATAGCTGTGTGCTGTCTGACACTCAAAGAATGAAAGTTAAACTAACACTACAGACAATTTACAGCAGGGACAACCCAATCTAGCATCCTCTCTGTTAGTATTTTGCCACGTTGGATGGTCATTATTGGAAAGATAACCTTGTGCAATGGGACCCTCATTCCTTGATCACTGAAGCACATATGAATTTTTCTTTCTACTTGTAGCTAAGGTGCCACTGCTGACATGACCCTTTCAAGAAAAGCCTGAAGGAAGCACCAGAACTCAATCCAGTAGCTGAGAAACCATGAATCTTCCCCTGTGTATCCAAAGTTAATGTTTGCCCTAAGAATTGTGTAGCTTTGTATGTACTATCGGACCTGTTAGAAAACTACTAAATTAATGTTTTAGCTCTACTAACTGTTGAGGATTTTAATTGAATATTTCCTCTATCAACACTAGACTTTTCAATATCTTCATCTGAGAACGATTTTGTAGTATTTTAATGGCAGAAAATCACACAACTTCATATTCAGAACCTGTAAGTGGCCACATCATAATTTCAGCAACTTCTAACCTTAAAGACATTCAAGGCTTTTCCAGAAGAAAAGGGTGAAATGGATAATCACAAACTAAGGAAAGTGATCTTCAGATTTAATACAAAAACTGACAAATGAAAATTTACCTCAGTTACCACAAAACCACCCAACTAAAGCTCAGAGAAGCTTAGATTTAACTTCCTCACACAGTTCTTATCTACTGTCTGTATCCTAAGATAAAATTGCCTACATTTTAAAATAATAATCTTTGTACTATAAAAATGTAAACAAAGGTAGTCACCACTATAATGACCCATTTTTTATTTCATTATCTAGAGATAAATAAAAATCAGCCTGCGTTCACTTGGAGACTTTATTCTTTAATTGTCTTTCGTGTGCAAAGCAAACCTGTTTTAGTGTGTTAGGGCTCAAAGGAAACAGACTCCCTATTCAGCCTACTTGTAAAAAAACGTAAAGCCATCTCCCATCTGGGGTTTGAATCTCATTAATTTTAAAGTGGAGAAACTGTGGAATTGAAAGGACTGGTTGGACCTTTCCTACTCAGCTTGCATACTAAGTTCAGGAATCTAGTGGAATGAGGTCCGTGTTATCTAAGCAGATTCTTTAGGCTGGAGGCAGAATGTGGCCTGCAATGCTCTCCTAGGCTTCTGCTTTTTCCTTCACAAGTTCCAGGGAAGATATTTCTTGAGTTATATACTTCATCCCTTAATTTAATAAACTTTAGACAATAAAGACTGCTGGCTAAACTATTTAGTAGGCACTGAGCTCAGGAAAGGGCAGAATTAGAGTTCAAAATAACAGCTGTTTCATTAAAAAATCAGTCAACTGATGACTAAACCAATTTTGAATGACAAACAAAATATTGTAAAAATGTGAGAAGTACTAATAAATTTATCAGCAAGGTCTTCTTGATTCAATCTAGGATATGTTTATGTTCTTAATTATTAGACTATAAAACATTTGGTATATAAGGAATAATCTTCACTATGTAAAAAAGTAATAACAAACATGAAGAATGGGGACTGAGGAAATAGCACAAAGCGTGACTGTTATTTCTGGGTGATTTCTATTTTAGTGTGCTATTTCAAACATTTTTTACAAATAGTATATAGAGTTGTCATTAAAGTTATGACACATTTTTACACAGAAAAAGGTCATGACTTTTCTGTTGATCCAATGGTATTGTAGGAAAAATAGTATATTTTATCTGCTGTGAAAAGTCTACAATGAAATTACAGGAAGATGCTTGTAGTTATCACCTTTGGGAAGTAAGACTATACGTTTTTTCCTTTCTATTCATATTTCCAAAAGTTCTTCTATGAATACATTTACTTTTTGTTTTTTTTGAAAAGTTTATCACTATAGGGCGTGTGCGCTCGCCAGACAGACAGAGACATAGAGAGACACAGAGATAGAAAGTGAGAAATCACCCCCCGGGG